AAACTAAAGCCTGAGCAACACGAACCCCACCAAAACCTGGGGGTGATCTCAGGTGCTCTGGAAGGGTAAGCAGATCCTGCTCCACATGTGTAACCCATCGTGTTGCTCATGTTAGTACAAACCCAGTAATAAGTCTAATTCGGTAGGTCACATTCGGGAAAAGGGGACGGGATTGTAGTTACGACATTTGGAACATATCCGCTATCATCTGTGAAACGGATATTCCATAATGGTCAACCAACTCCTGATGGCGTCAGTAAAAAGCTGTAGAAAGCTAGAATAAATCTGTACTTATGCATTGTCTACCTACTGACTGATATTATAGTGTGCATTTAGCATTCATATCACATCTTCTTCATTTTTGTCGAGCCTTCGACTTTTGTCGAAAAAGCGAGACATAGCGATCCTACATTCCGTCGGCGTCGGCGTCGTCGTCGTCGGCGGCGTCCACAAATATTCACTCTGTGGTTAAAGTTTTTGAAATTTTAATAACTTTCTTAAACTATCCTGGATTTCTACCAAACTTGGACAGAAGCTTGTTTATGATCATAAGATTATATTCAAAAGTAAATTTTGTAAAAAAAAAATTCCATTTTTTCCGTATTTTACTTATAAGTGGACTTAGTTTTTCTGCCAGGAAACATTACATTCACTCTGTGGTTAAAGTTTTTGAAATTTTAATAACTTTCTTAAACTATCCTGGATTTCTACCAAACATGGACAGAAGCTTGTTTATGATCATAAGATTATATTCAAAAGTAAATTTTGTAAAAAAAAATTCCATTTTTTCTGTATTTTACTTATAAGTGGACTTAGTTTTTCTGCCAGGAAACATTACATTCACTCTGTGGTTAAAGTTTTTGAAATTTTAATAACTTTCTTAAACTATCATGGATTTCTACCAAACTTGGAAAGAAGCTTGTTTATGATCATAAGATAGTATCCAGAAGTAAATTTTGTAAAAAAAAAATTCCATTTTTTCCGTATTTTACTTATAAGTGGACTTAGTTTTTCTGCCAGGAAACATTACATTCACTCTGTGGTTAAAGTTTTTGAAATTTTAATAACTTTCTTAAACTAACCTGGATTTCTACCAAACTTGGAAAGAAGCTTGTTTATGATCATAAGATAGTATCTAGAAGGAAATTCTGATAAAATTTTGTTCCATTTTTTCCATATTTTACTTATAAATGGACTTAGTTTTTCTTCCAGTCAACATTACATACATTCTGCAGTTTAAGTTTTTAAAACATTTATTAGATTCATAAATTATCCTGGATTTTTACCAAACTTGGACAGAAGCTACTTACAATCAAAAGATAGTATAGAGAGGAATATTTTTATTAATTTTTTTCCTCAATTTTGTTGAGCCTGCGATTAACATCAAAAGTAGGCAAGACACTGGGTTCCGCGGAACCCTTACAAATTTTTTTATAAGTGAGGCTCATTCATTTTTGTTGATAGTCAAACTCTGAATTTAAATACAAATGAGCATAATTTACTTTTAAATGGAATTAATTTTAGAATTGGAATCTCAATTAAATTTCCCTCTATTGTCCTTTTAAAGAGCTGATAGCAATATGCTCCCTTTTGTAGAAGATTCCTCTATTTTACCATCTATAATTGATAGCTATTTGACTTGTTTTAAGACAGATACAATTTTAAAGACCTGCAATTTTGCATCTTTCTTTTGTACAAAAAGTGCATTAGCAATAAAAACTTTTATGATCAAGAGTTTTCATTAGCTGTTTGCCTAAACCCTCTCTTAGCCTAATTTAATGAAATTTTGGGATAATGGATACAGAAAGCAGATTCTTTGGATTAATAAAATGCTCCGCAGGGCGCAGCTTGATACGACCGCAGAGGTCGAACCCTGAACAGTTGGGGCAAGTATGGACACAACATTCAAGCTTGATACAGCTCTGAATTTGGATTGTGATTAAATATTTGACACAGCATAGGTTTCTGACACAGAATGAATGTGGTCTAAGAACTTAAAAATTTTAAATTGGACATTCACCTATTATGGTCCAATATCCAAAATCTAAATACATGGTTAGATTCAGCATATCAAAGAACCCCAAGAATTCAATTTTTGATGAAATCAAACAAAGTTTTATTTTAGACCCTTTTGACCTCAATGTGGACAAAGTTGATAAGGGGGCCCAAAAATCAAAAATCTAAATACATGGTTAGATTCAGCATATCAAAGAACCCCATATATTCAATTTTTGTTGAAATCAAACAAAGTTTAATTTTGGACCCCGATTTGGACCAACTTGAAAACTGGGCCCATAATCAAAAATCTATATACATGTTTAGATTCAGCATATCAAAGAACCCTAAAAATTCAATTTTTGTTAAAATCAAACTAAGTTTAATTTTGGACCCTTTGGACCTTAATGTAGACCAATTTGAAAACGGAACCAAAAATTAAGAATCTAAATACACGGTTAGATTCGGCATATCAAAGAACCCCAATAATTCAATTTTTGATGAAATCAAACAAAGTTAAATTTTGGACCCTTTGCACCTCAATGTGGACCAATTTAAAAACGGGGCCCAAAATCCAAAAACTTAATACACGGTTAGATTCAGCATATTAAAGAACCCCAAGAATTCAAGAATAAAACCCCATTGAAATTGATCAAGAAATAAGCAATTTATACGAAGTATCTTCTTTTGCACAATACTGTGCAATTGAATATTGCTTGCTATTGCGCAATACTGTACAATTGACAATTTCTTGCTATTGCGCAATATTGTGCTATTGGATATTTCTTGCTATTGCGCAATACTGTGCAATTGAAGATTTCTTGCTATTGCGCAATACTGTGCAATTGAAGATTTCTTGCTATTGTGCAATACTGTGGAATTGAAAATTTCTTGCTATTGCACAATACTTATTATATAATAAATTACACATCCTGTTTGGTGTGTATCTCCTACCATATCATTATTATTTGCTTTTAAATATAAATCAGAAATAACCAACTTAAAATGGAAAATTTTAAAAGAAAAAAAAAAGGAAAAAAAGAAAATAAAAGAAAAAAAAAAAATCCCCCCCCCAAATTTTTTGAACCCCCTTATGATTCATCACCCCCAAACTCAATCCCAGCCTTCCCTTTGTGGTATGGTACCTTGCAGTACAATTTCAGAGAGATCCATACACTTGAACACAAGTTATTGTCTGGAAACTAGAAAAATGCTTATTTTTGGCCCCTTTTTGGCCCCCAATTCCTAAACGTTTAGGGCAATTACCCCCAAACTCAATTCCAGCTTTCCCTTTGTGATATGGAACCTTATAGTACAATTTCAGAAATATCCAAACACTTACACACAAGTTATTGTCATGAAACTAGAAAAATGCTTGTTTTTTGCCCCTTTTTTGGCCCCTAATTCCTAAAATTTTGAGGCAATTACCCCCAAAATCAATTACAGCCTTCCCTTTGTGATATGGAACCTTGTGGTACAATGTCAGAGAGATCCATACACTTACACACAAGTTATTGTCTGGAAGTTACAAAAATGCTTATTTTTGGCCCCTTTTGGCCCCTAATTCCTTAACTGTTGGTACCATAACCCCCAAAATCAATCCCAACCTTCCTTTCGTGGTATTGAACCTTATGGTAAAATTTTATGGAGATCCATTCACTTAAACTAAAGTTAGAGTGCGAAAACCAATGTGTCTTCGGACGACGCCGGACGACGACGACGACGACGACGACGACGACGACGACGACGACGACAACGACGACGACGACGACGACGACGACGACGCCAACGTCATACCAATATACGACCAAAAAATTTTCAATTTTTGCGGTCGTATAAAAATGCATCAGGTTTATAACAACTTTGATAATATGGATTCCAACTCTCTTCACATCATGGTTGTCAAGGACTGGAGAAACAAACACAAAAGAAATTTACTTCCCAGGTTCATCATAAAAAGTTTTATGTGTATTTTATATCTGCCAATTACAATGACCAGAAATCAGAATTTCTCTTATTAGATGCAGATTTATCTTCAGACAGTAATATGGTGTGTTTTTAATCCTAACATTTATGAGCAATAAAAACCAGTATCTACAATTCTGTATTTTCTCTTTCTATCCATTAAGGCCAGGGGGAGACAATCTCACTAGCACACATCTCAAACTCATAAAACCTCATGAAAATTATAAACTATACCATTAATCTGTCATTCTGTATCAAATACAAATTTACCAGTTGGTATGTCTGATAACCCATGAACAAAATAATAAAGATTATAGATGATAATGGTAAATATATTGTCTCCACATTTGCACCCACCCAGAGGTTCATATTACTCTTCCTAAAATGTCAAATCAAATGTCTTAAGACAACATAGTACCTATCTGCCAATAGACTTAAGTTCCAAAATTTACTGGCATTTATATCCTACCCTCATGCTAAGGGAGAAACCTCATTAACTAAACGTCCTGAGTATGACAGGTTTTATGGTGGTCACTTTATAAATCCATTCTGACTTTAAATGTTATAAGGGTATACTGACAATGTATTAATTTCATAAGAAATTACAGGAATTCGTATTGATTTAGTCCATATGATTATAACAATGTAAAACCTTTCAAGTTACTTATAGATACTAGAAAAAAAGCTTGCTGCAAAATCCACTAGCACTGTGACCACATATATTTTGAAATAAGCATAGGATCCAATTCACCTATGTCTATTAATCTATGAAAAGGACCATGCAATAAATTTCTTGTTGCATAAACTATTTTACACCCAACAGTCAATTGGGATCTATATCAAGAAATGCAAAAGTTGAAAATGATTTTCCAGGTCTGCAAGTTATTTACATTAATTTGCTGCATTCCAAGCTTTCCTTGAAAATCCTTCAATAGGAATGCTTATAGCCAAAATGTATGCACAAAATGGTAGCAAAAATAATTTATTTGAAAATTTCATCATTGATAATTTCTGTATAATATTTTTAATAATTGCCCTACCTTCTATAAGTTATAGCTCTTTTGTTCTTGTACTGTCTGCCTCATCATGCCATGCCAAATTTGTTCAGACCTGAAAATTACACAGTCCATTAGTTAACAATTAAATATAAAGACATATTTCATGCTTAACAATTTCATTTCAATTTCTATTGTCTTTGTATAAGGTAAGACAATTGAACACTTTCACTATTTACTTTAGGGTCAGTCAAGTTAAACGTTTTTGGTGACTGCTGAAATATAATGACCACACTTGTGTGCGTCATTGACAATAGTCAATATGAAATTTGAAACGTTCTGTTTTAAAACTTTATGAATTATTCTAACAAAAAAAACAACATTTAGGCTTTTGAAAAATATATAAATATAAAGTTAATTTTAGAACCAAGTCAATTTGGCCATATAACCATTCATTTGACAATTAACCTTTTTTTTTACATATATATCCACATATCTGGCTATTACAGCTTCTCGTTTAATAAGCTAGACTAGAAACATGGTTACTTGTTGGCTAAAATTTACTTGAAATATATGTACACTTTAACATCATCTAATTATAAGATTAGGAAAAATCACTAGATTTTCATAAGTTAAACTTTTGTAAATCATTGCCATTAATCCTGAAGATTTTAAGCAATATTATACAAAGATCCAAGTTGAGGATTAGAAATTTTATACAATTCTTATTCAATTCTTACTTTACAAAAATCAATTAAAATTATTGATAAAATACATTACATTTTCATAATAAGTCATAAAAGATTTATTTCTAATGATTTGTGGTTGAATAAATGCATTTTCCTGACGAGGAATATTGACTGAGAGTACATTTAAAATTTATTACTTATTTCCTTAAAGTCTGAGTATTAACCATAAAAATTCAAAAGTAATGTTAATATCAGTGTTTTGATAACAGACATTGAATCCTTAGAATGACCATAGCACAAATCATTCAAGTTAAAAAAGTTGAAAAAAATGCGGAAGATACCAAGATACCAAGAGGTCACATTCAAAATTCATTTGTCGAAGAGAAACGCCATGTCAAAATTATATCTACTCCTATGTTGAACATCTTTTCCTATACATGTATTGAAATCAATGTCATTTTGAACTGATAATTAAATTCAATTCACAACCATTTTCTCATCAATGAGGAAGGGGTATAAAGTGACCACATGTATTACACTATAAGGATGTCAAAGCTTGAAACAGTATGGACTAGGTCTTATATGGAAACAAGTCCACTTTATTGAAGTAACATTTAAAATGCCTTTTCAATTCTGTTTTTGTTTTACCCTTAAGTAGATAAATATCAGATGAATCACCAGTGTCAGGAACATAACTGTCATACAATATAGTTCACAACATACATGATCCCACAGGATATAGTTAGTTAGAATGTGCATTTCATAAAATCTGGGACCAATAGATATGTATTGAGTCCAAGTTAAAACAGAACTTGCATTATAACAATGTTGTTGTGAATGTATTTTACTGTTCCCACCCAAAATCTCTTCTTGGGACATTCTATTAAAAGCAAACAGCAATTAGACGACTATAAACTAGTCAAAAATCTCTTCACTTTAAACGAGCTTAAAGCTCATACATATTTTTCACTTATTCAGAATTCTCAATGTGACTATATTTGTCATGATTTCTTAGGAACTGATTGGACCCCTTATACCTGTCATTTGGTTTTATACCTGACGGAGAGCTCTGATACTTTTAAAACATTGAACCAAGGATCTGTTTAAGTTTTCCTATACAAATCTTTGATTGAACATACCTGACCAGTATCAGGTCCAAAAATATATGACAGCTAGATGACAATGTTTGACTTAGGACTTTAATAGGATTAAATAGTATCTATGATCAAGTAATCAGCTAATTACTGGAATATTACCTCCATAATTCTCAGTATAATACAAATTAATCTAATATTAGTGATAAATATCATTATATCCTAGCTACTGGGAGGTTACAGTTCCCTAAGGTGTCATTAGAAACACTTGTCATCAAGCACCTGTTCATTCAGTTAATTTGACCAGTAATTCAGAAAAAAAGTAGAATTTGTAGTTTATTATTGACATATACTATGAATAAAAGGAGATATGAGGTGTTGGTTAATAAGGCAGCAACCAACCAGCACAAATACTAGAATGTCAAAAATTGTCACAATGTGTTCATTTAGTTACTATCACAACTAAGATAAAGTGCCCAAAAAATCACCCTACCTAAATCTAATCATAAAGGAAAATTAGAAATCTGGACAAAAAATATGTGAAAGTATTAAATACTGGTTTGACTTAAGTTTTGAAATATGTACTTTGTGAAAATAGACCACTTTACAGTTTAAATAGAAAATGAAAGGATATGGAGCAGGGGTCGACTTAAGCACTGGCTCGCTGGCTCTAGGCCAGTAGAATTTCGATAGGGTCAGTTGAACATAAAAACTACTGGCCCCATTGGCCATACATTTGACTATATTTTCACATAGATAGTATTATTAGGGCAAATTTTATTTGAGTTGGGCCAGTAAATTTACGCTCTAACTGGCCCTATTGGCCATACTTTTAAATTTTGTTAAGTCGACCTCTGATGGAGTAAATGTACATGGGACAAAATCGCACACAATACATAGAAAACATAGAAAATTATCAATGAACAGGGCTTTTATTCCTGTTCTTCATCTTGACAGTTGATGTAGGGTCTTCAACAATGAACGAATCATTCATACCCTACAACAAGGTCAAGACGGCCCCTAGCGTCGACTTAAGCGTTACTATTGATAAAAATAAACCACAGTTCACCTTCTTGCTCCCCACCCACCTCGGAGAGCCAACTTGTGCGATGCTTGTGTACGACGGTTCTCCAGTCGAAAGTACCAGGGATACAAGAAAAGTGCAGTAATTTACCCGGTAACCAGAAGATTGTGTAACATTGCAATTTTTTACATCTTGTTGCTTATTAAGAGCTTAATTTTTCCTGCAAAATAGGAGCCAACTAAGGAGAGGAAAACTTTCATATTATGCTTTACATAGCTCCTCAGACAAAACTTTCATATTATGCTTTACATAGCTCCTCAGACAAAACTTTCACATTATGCTTTACATAGCTCCTCAGACAAAACTTTCATATTATGCTTTACATAGCTCCTCAGACAAAACTTTCATATTATGCTTTACATAGCTCCTCAGACTAAACTTTCATATTATGCTTTACATAGCTCCTCAGACAAAACTTTCATATTATGCTTTACATAGCTCCTCAGACTAAACTTTCATATTATGCTTTACATAGCTCCTCAGACAAAACTTTCATATTACGCTTTACATAGCTCCTCAGATATAACTTTCATATTATGCTTTACATTATAGCTCCGCAGACTAAACTTTCATATTATGCTTTACATAGCTCCTCAGACTAAACTTTCATATTATGCTTTACATAGCTCCTCAGATATAACTTTCATATTATGCTTTACATTATAGCTCCTCAGACTAAACTTTCATATTATGCTTTACATAGCTCCTCAGACAAAACTTTCATATTATGCTTTACATAGCTCCTCAGACAAAACTTTAATATTATGCTTTACATTATAGCTCCTCAGACTAAACTTTCATATTATGCTTTACATAGCTCCTCAGACATAACTTTCATATTATGCTTTACATTATAGCTTCTAAGATTAAACTTTCATATTATGCTTTACATAGGTCCTCAGACTAAAGCCAGATAAACTTTTACATACTTCCTATCTAGCTGTAAAAGTAAACACTTTGTGCAATGCAGATACATAATAGTTGTCATCAATGTATAACTATTAATAAAATTCAAGAATATTAATTTCTAAATATGAATTCCTTGCTTCATAATTAATACAAATATGTCTATCAATAATCATGACTTTACAGGCAATAAACAATGTTATTACATAATATTGTAATGAGTTCTACATAATACCAATTAACAACAGACTGTTATTATTTCTATTCCTTTCTTTCAGAGGTATGTTGAAAATAAAGTTTCATGTTAAATTTAATTGATTTTCAATATGATTCTAAAGGATCCATTGCTTTTGAAGGTCGTTACCGTGTAAAATAATGAATAATTGAATTACCTCATTAATAAAATTGATAATTATGAGTTACTTAAGTGATGTATGACAATCTTGCCAATAGGGAGACGAAATTTTTTTAATGTCACCCTGCAAGCATGACTATCATCCGTTAATGTCTCATTTGCATCATATCTATAGCTTTTTTCTCTATTTTTTAATATTCATATCATATTTTGAAATGAGTCATAGATCAATGTTATGGGCCGGGTATACTCAGGAGCAAGTAGAAAGTTAATTCTCCTTTCTACCCTTTTAGCAAATGTTAGGAAAAATTCTTATGCATACCCTATTTTAACATCAATAGCCAGTACTGGATGATGGCTGTCTCCAATAATAGATAAATTGAGTATTCCCTACCATAGGATATTTTGAATTGCCTACCATGTTATTTTTTAATTGTAAGAATTTTTAAAAGTTCTAAACAGGTGCTGCATCACTTTGGTGAATTATTTTTTATCTTTCAATGTATTCATAGGTAATGGTTGGGAAACTTTGTTATCAAAACAAAAGCTGAAGAAAATCTGAGCTCACCTGGCAATTGAAACAGATTCCCAACTTTTATCAGAATATCACGAAAAAGTCCCCACCAGCACAGACCTGCATTTGTTATATGCAAAAGTTTACAAAAATACAAATGTTATTTGAGTCTGTTTTTGTTATCGTAAATAATCTCCAATCACCCGGAACACCTTTGGATGTAATATCACTCCGATATCATATACTGATAATCTTATCAATCTACAAGTCTTTGGAACTTAACCGAAATATATATTCTATTAATACGGTAGTACCGTGTGCCAGGTTTTAAATTCTGTAATTTGGATCGATTGCTGATCATCATCTTATATATGTTCTGATCTTAATCTGATAGTCCATCTAATATCCTTTAAACTATGTCTTAATACAATCTTATATTCAATGTATAGGTTTATTTAAATTCTGGACATGAT